GGGGATTTAAGAGTAAAATTGTTGGAAATTTTACTTTAGCTTGTATAGGGTGTTGTCTTTGTAATGTTGGTTGAGTACCACATGATTTTATACGTTAAAGAAGAAATTGCGCTATAATCGTGCTATAATTGTGCTTAATAGTTTATTTTATCTAAGTCAACCTAATTCTAATGATATTTTGAATTTTAAGTCAATTCACACGTAGCACACTAGGGTCTCTCATTCATCTTTGATTTAGTAGGTTCATTGTTTTATGGTATGAAAAGACTAATTTTCGTAATCAAATCCCAATGGTGGTAGTGCTCAGGTTGATGACCGGCAAAATCTCTCTGTGGCAGTGATGTTATGATAGTCACACGAGCCAAACTTCAACTGATAATACTTCATTCTTCTCTGCAGCAAGGAGCCTAAATCTTGTAAACAATGTCCATGAGAAAATACGCCAATGTCTTAGTGATGGAGGTCATATAATTTCAACCACCGTTGCAGTTTTGACGACTAATTGCAAATCTGAGATGTCTAGTGAGACGAAATACCTATTATATTTTTATATCTTTGTTAGTCTACTGTCCCATTCTATGCTTTATTTCTCTGGGTACAAGAGAGTTGTAGGGGTTATGAGGGCAACTACAATTGTTGCCATGGGCTTTAGCCTTGTATTACAACTGGGCTCATATGCCAACGAGGTGGTTGTCTGGTCACTGTGTGTTTTAATGTAAGTGCACAGTGATTTTTGTTATGGTATAAAAATTATTATATGATTTTGTATCGTGTAAGAAAATAAAAGACATTCTCTAGAATTGAGAAAGGTTTATGGAGTTTTAATATAGTTATCGTTTCCCATATTTCTTTTGCTATTGCTGTAATAGTGTTTCTCATAGTTATAAAGACATGTTTTTGCACCATCTTCTTCCTATAAAAAATGTCTATGTTTTGTAGAGAAATAAATATGAGCATCTAGTTAATGAGAGGAATGGACATAAATTGCTGCAGAAATTGTCTAAAACTTGAATGTAGCTATGTGAAATTGTTAGAGTTTCGATTGAAAGTTTTGGGGATTTAGAGTATAAATGTTGTTGGAAATTTTACTTAAGCTTGGATAGGTGTTGTTTTGCTTTCATAATGTTGGTTGAGTACCACATGATTTTATAAGTTAAAGAGAAAAAATTGCACTATAATCGCGCTGTAATGTGTTTATAAGTTTATTTTATCTAAGTCAACCTAAATTTAATGATATCTTGAATTTAAGTCAATTACACACGTAGTCACACTAGGGTTCTCTCATTCATCTTTGATTTAGTAGGTTCATTGTTTTATGGTATGAAAATGACTAATTTTCGTAATCAAATTCCCAATGGTGGTAGTGCTAAGCTTGACGACCAGCATACTCTATCTCATGGCAGTGAAGTTCATGATAGTCCACCATCGAGCCAAACTTCAACTGATAATAATTCATTCTTCTCTATAGCAAGGAGCCTAACTCGTGTGGTAAACAATGCCTATGAAGACAAATACGCCAATGTCTTACTGATGGGAGGTCATATAATTTCAACCACTGCTGCAGTTTTGGCGACTAATTGCAAATCTGAGATGTCTAGTAGAGTGAAATAACTATTATATTTTCTTACATCATTGTTAGTCTACTGTCACATTTCTATGCTTTATTTCTTTCTAGGTAGAAGAGAGTCGTAGGGGTTATGAGGGCAACGAAAATTGGTCTAATGGGCTTTTGCCTTGTTATTGCAATTGGGCTCCATATGCCAAACGAGGTGGTTGTCTGGTCACTGTTGGTGTTTTAATTGTAAGTGCACCAGTGATTTTTGGTTATGTTATAAAAACTATTATCTGATATTTTTGTATCTTGTATAAAGACATTCTCTAGAATTTGAGAAATGTTTATCGTAGTTTTAATATAGTTATCGATTTCCCACATTTCTTTTGCTTTTTGCTGTAATTAGTGTTTCTCATAGTTATAAAAGACATGTTTTTGCATCATCTTCTTCCTATAAAAATTCTTCTATGTTTTGTAGAGAAAATAAATAATGAGCATCCTAGTTAATGAGAGGAATGGACATAAATTGTTTGCCAGAAATTATCTAAAACTTGAATGCTAGCTATGTGAAATTGCTAGAGTTTCAATTAGAAAGTTTTAGGGATTTAAGAAGTATAAATTGTTGTTGGACATTTTACTTTAAGCTTGTATAGGTGTTGTTTTGTTTTCATTAATGTTGGTTGAGTAGCATATGATTTTATACGTTAAAGAAGAAATTGCGCTATAATCGCGCTATAATAGTGCTATAATAGTGCTATAATAGTTTATTTTATCTTAGTCAACCTAAGTCTAATGATATTTTGAATTTTAAGTCAATTACACACGTAGTCACACTAGGGTTCTCTCATTCATCTTTGATTTAGTAGGTTCATTGTTTTATGGTATGAAAATGACTAATTTTTGTAATCAAACTCCCAATGGTGGTAGTGCTCAGGTTGACGACCGGCAAATTCTCTGGTGGCAGTGATGTTTATGATAGTCCACGACCAAGCCAAACTTTAACTGATAATACTTCATTCTTCTCTGTAGCAAGGAGCCTAACTCGTGCGGTAAACAATGTCCATGAAGGTAAATACGCCAATGTCTTAGTGATGGGAGGTCTTATAATTTCAACCACCGCTGCAGTTTTGGCGACTAATTGCAAATCTGAGATGTCTAGTAGAGCGAAATACCTATATTTTCTTATGTCTTTGTTAGTCTACTATCCCATTTCTATGCTTTATTTTTGTCTGCGTACAGGAGAGTTGTAGGGGTTATGAGAGCAACTACAATTGTTGCCACGGACTTCAACCTTGTTACTGCAACTGGGCTCCATATGCCAAACGAGTTGGTTGTCTGGTCACTATTGGTGTTTTACAGAGAAAATAAATTATGAGCATCCTAGTCAATGAGAGGATTGGATATAAATTTCTTGTTGGAAATTGTGTAAAACTTGAATGTTGGCTGTGTGAAATTATTATAGTTTCGACTGGAAAGTTTGGGGGATTTAAGGGGTATAAATTGTTGCTAGAAATTTTACTTTAAGCTTGTATAGGTTCTGTTTTGCTTTCCTTAATGTTGGCTTAATAACACATGATTTTATACGTTAAAGAAGAAATCGCGCTATAATTGTGTTATAATCGTGCTATAATATCTGTTAAAGATCCTTTCTACTATGTTTTCCAGACCGAGGTTCAACCGTTGGGCATGAAATTTTTCCTTTAGATTCATTTTTCTTCAGGTGTCGCTGTCTCCAACTTCACATAAGCAACTGTTAGAACCTAACTCCTAGCATGTCTAATTTTTCCAGATCTAAACTTAGTAACTGGCATGTCTACTTGCACTTTTAGAACCTAACTCCTGACTTCAGGTTTGGAGCTGTGCATTCCTTGTTGAAATTACAATACAAAGTTTGGAAGATTCTAGTTGTTGCCACTGTTGATCAAGGTGCATTTTTTTGCTTCTCTGTATAGTTTCTTTAATGTTGTCTCATTGTTTTGGTTTTGGGCAAAGAGATATTGTGAAATGCATCAAAATTTTTAATTAGTTTATTTAAGGAATTGTTATTTACTTTCTCTATGCAAAACGCACTATGTAAGAATCATTGTAGGGCTTAACATTTTCCTTTTGCAACTTCATGTAAGTATATTTGACATTGTTTTTCTATATCTAAACTCTTAACAAATGATGATCCCATATCATTTTCTTTCGCCTATCTTATTGCTTATTTTGTACCTTACTCTTGGATTTGCATATGGAGTCCACCAAATGATAAGAGAAAACCAAGTAATGGATCTTTAGATATCCTGCTGAAGCAGAACAACCAGTCAATGTTTGTCTAAACAGAGTATGCAATTACCTCATATAACATATCTCTTATTCAAGTCCTATTTTCTAAACAAAGTACGCAGTCATTTGAGTTGATTTCATCAAAATTAAAGCTGGACATATTATGAAAATTATATTAGAGGAAGGAAAACCGGGATCATTAAAAACAGAAAGAAGCATAAGAAAATCATCAACTCCATGAATATCCCAAAATTTAAGCTGGACATGATGCGTAATGTCTGATTATTAGTGCTGTACAATTATTAGTGCTCGCGAACAGTTCTAGTTTTAGTTCTGTTGGATTGTTGATGATAAAAGATGGGATCATATCTGATTTGTAATGTTTTTCATTAAAAAGAAATTTATAGAATGCAGTTGGTTTATGTACTGCTCTATGTAACTATTTAACTGTCTCTTGAAAACTCTTAAATCTAAAAAACAAACATCTTCTTCGGACTCTTATTGTTTCTCAATCTGATCTGCTCTTAACTTGTAAAGGAGCTTAATCTTCTTCTTCTTCTTTATTCTGATCAACAATTTGAGAGATTAAATATTACTCAATCCATAGCTCAAATAATGCATAATTGTCTGTTGCTTCAAACCAGAAAGAAAGAAGCTCTTAGCATTAGTGATTACATGAGATGGATGAAGGAAAACGCAGATTCTTTAGGAAATATCATTTTTGCTTTATATCTTGTAGTTATTGTCTCACGCCTAGAAATGATTTAGTTTCCCTCCAGAAAGCTCAATTCATTCTTCAAGATCATGAAATTCGACCAGAACACCAACATGATTCCTTGTCAGTAGATCTTCAAGGAGGCAGCTCTACTAATTTTGTTTCCAGATGGTTTATCTATTAGAATAATTTGGCTTATTAATCTTTTTTTTTTTTTTCATATATATATATATATAATAATAATTATTATTATTATTATTATAATTATTAATATCAACCCATCAATTCTGAAAATGAAAAGATTCACTGAAAATAGCTTAGTCATATTAACAAGTCAAGGAAGGGTACCTCAGGTAACTGAAATTTTTTAACTTTGATGACAAGCCTTTTTCTTAAGTGGTGTTAGATTAAACTTGTATACATCTAATAGAGATATTAACCAAATTATTCACACAAAAGGGGATGAAATAAGAAACTTCGAAACTGGCAATTAACTATTACATTATTAAGAAACAAAGTATATAACAGAAGAATGAATAAATCTTGTTGTCTTTCCAAGAATGGAATTTGAAAGCACAGTACACTCACATAGTTTAGTGTGTGATGATTACCTGGTGAAGAACAAGAAGCTTAATTGCATAATCTTTGACAAACAGTCTGCATGTTTCATCTAGATTCTGGGTTGGCATCTAAGCAAGAAAAAGCAACCTCCATAGTGGATATGAGATTGCGAGTTGTGGATCCAACATATCACTAAGAGCTAAATTCACATTGAAAGACAAGGATGACAACATATCCTTATAGATGTAAATTACAAGATTACAATCCCTTCAATCATGCACTTGATCATGCTTGTAAACATATATATATAAAGAACTTAACAAAACCTCTAAGATTCAAGGTTTTGGATTCAAAGATCTATTCTATCTTCTCTATTTCTTTTAAAAATGTACCCGTCTTAACACTAATTGTTGTAACAAGCTAAATCTTACTGTGTTAGTTTTAGCTTAAGGAAGAATTAACGAAGAAGGAGATGCAGGCTTTTAAGTTTCAAATATCAGTTAAGGCTACAGTTCTAATTTCACAAACAATATCTTTGCTTTCTTGAAGTAGCATAGGCACCTCAAAAAAAACTAAACTAAATGAATAGTCTCTTCATTCAAGATTGACCAGTGACCACAAGGGTTTATTTGCAAAGAAAGCCCTCAAGTTAAACAAAATCAGCTCCTCCAATGCGTCAAAGCATTCTGGAGTAGCAACTGCACAATGGGGAGACAACAGAACCTTATCCAATTGAAATAGCTCTTTTGGCACATGAGGTTCATTTTCAAACACATCAAGACCAACACCACCAATTTCACCACGTACCAAAAGCTTCACCATTTCCTTTTCATCAATGAGCGCCCCACGTCCAACGTTAATTATCACTCCTTCCTTTCCCAAAGCTGTCATTACATCCTTGTTGATTATATGGTGAGTTTCTTCTGTAAGTGCACAACAAACAACAAGCACATCACTGTTCACTGCAAGCTCATAGACATCTGGGTAATAAGGGAATGGGATAGCTGATTTCTTCCTTCTGGAGTTGTAAGAAATGATGCAGCCAAAGGCTTGAAGTCTTTTTACAACTTCAGAGCCAATCTTTCCCATCCCCACCATCCCAACTCGCTTTCCTCCTAACTGAAACCATAAATTCATAATCAATAAATCATGCCTATTGAGAAGCAAATTATTCGTATCAAATTCTAGATTAAAAGCAACATTGTTTCAGTAAAATATATTATATATATTGGTATATGAAAATCTCTTATGTAAAACTAAAACATTGTTACTCTGAACTAAAACATAGCGTAGCATGGGAAATCCCAGTTCCAGTAGAAAAGAATGTACATAAAAGCATGAATTCATTAGGTAAATCCAACAGGGTTAAACCTTAATTGCAACAAAAATCCAAGAAATTCAATGAAATTCCTACCCAATTGTGAGTAAGGTTAAACCTTAGAGCCCAGCGCGTAATCACCGGTTTTAGCCCAGGAGGAGGCTCGAAGGAAGCGGTCACTGGCAGAAATTTTTCGTAAAACATCGATCAAGAGGCCAACCGCTAAGTCAGCGACATCCTCAGAGAATGCAACGCCAGCATTAGTAACAGTAATGCCACGTCGCCGGCATTTGGGGAGGTTGATGTGATCAACGCCGACCGTGGAGCCCACAATGAGTTCCAAGGCTGGAAGGAGAGACAGGAGGTCGGAGGAGACGGGTGTGGGGTCCACGCAGAGGAGGACCCTTATGTTGTGGGCATGGCGGCAAAGGAGGGAAGAGCGAGTTGAATCGGGTGAGTCAAAGGGATCGAAAAGGTTGAATTGAGTTGCTAAACGGTGTCTGAATGGGAAGTGAAAGTTTGGTGGTCGATGAACCAGGACTAGTGGACGATTGACTGCTTCTTCATCCATTGACTTTTGCTTGATGGGTTGCGTTGCAGCTCAATAGATAATGTCAGGAGAATATTCCTCTCCAGAAACAAGAAATAATTTTAATTATAAAGAAATGGTTTTAATTTTATTTTAAAATATTTTAAAATAATGTCTATTGTTTATTAATCATGATTAAATAAATGAGAAATGTAAAGGATTAAGAAAGAAGATAAATTAAAAATAAAATATATTTAAATTTAATTGACTCTGGGGCTTAAAAAGAGTTTAGATGGGTGTTAAATAAAACCACTCAATTATTATAATTGTAGTATCTGGAATTGGTATATGTATTATAGTAAAAAAGTAAAAACAATGAGTTAATTATAAATTAGACCCTATGATTTGGGTCCATTGTCAAGACACTTTTATTTTTATAATTAGAATAATATTACATATACAAACTCATTCATACAAATTGGTATATTAAAATGTAATTAGGTGATTTTAAAGTAGAAATAAATAAAATAGAAGTCAAACATGCAAAATAGTCGCATCAATTTGTATGGATGAGTTTGTATGAAAAGTTTTGTATATATAGTATTATTTTTCTACCCTTACTGAATATAAAGGGCACTTTTATTTTTGAGTAATACTACAGTTATCGATGAGTGTGCACAGAATTTGTGCACCGAATGACGTGACAAAATCTTGACCGTTGATGTATTATCAGTTAATATTAATCAACGGTCATGATTTTGCCATGTCATTCGGTGCACAAATTCGGTGTAAACTTTTCGGTAACTCTATTATTTTCCTTTATTTTTTAATAGCAAAATGATCCCGTAAACAAACAAATCTATTAGTCCCTATGGTTAAAGTCCTCTAACAATTCATGACACCTCAAATTTTTTTTTTTTTTTTAAAACTGTATTTTAATTATTGGGAAGAGAATTGATAAAGTGATAGAATTATTTAAAAAAAAAAACTTTATCTTAATTATAGTAAATTATATAAAATTAATTAATATATCTTATTAATTATCATTACTCCCTAAGATTTGGGTCAACTACGTTGAGAACACCTTTATTTTCAATTGGCAAAATAGTCCTTGACATGGCCCTTTCCTGTTAGTGTTACTCTAACGTATGTCAAGTTGAAGGATGATTTTGCCAGTAAAAAGTAATTGTGTCCTTAACAAGTAGACCAAAACCATAGGGTCCAAAAACATTTAATTTGTAGGGTAATTTGGTCTTTTGATACATTATTCTATTTCATCCAACAAAAAATACTAACGACTGATACTTATAAGGACCAAAGTGAAAGTGAAAAGTAAAAGTGTTATAAATTGTCAATAATGGTATAATAATGGTATAACCTTGGGACTTCTATAAGCATTGTTAATAATGTCATGTTTAATTAATGGAAATTCAAAGTATCTGAAAAATTGTAATAGGTCAAACGAGCATCTACCAAATCTGTCATTCCACTACCATACCAATCTTCTCCATATCAAATCAAAACTTGACAAAATATCTCTTAATTGAAGCTATATTGATTTGTAAAAGATTTTTTAGTTCTGGTTCTTAGTTGTATATTTTTTTACTTTTATCATTTTGTAAAGGTGTAAATTATGGGATTACAATCCCTTTGGTTATGCACTTGATTATGCTTGTAAACATATATATAAAGAACTTATGAGAACCTCTACGATTCAAGGTTTTGGATTCAAAGTTCTATTCTATCTTCTCTATTTCTTTTAAAATGTTTGTATCTAATACTAGTTGTTGAGGGGCGATGCTGGTGAGATTATTAGAAGAATTAATGATGAAGGAGAAGCATACTTTAAATTCCAAATATCATTTAAGACTAAGTAACATAAGTTTGTTAAATTTTGTTATTACAAAAAGAGAAGAAATATCTTCCGTCAGACTCTCAATTAATACTGTTAGTTTTAAGTCATACATTGCATTTCATTAACAAGTAAAGTAGTAATAGATTAGAACTGCACTATAAAAGCAACATTGTGTTTATGGACACAAATACTACAATTGAAAGGTCTCAAATAATTCCAGCGGTAAGAGCTTATTCTCTTCATGGCTTTCTTACCAGAACTAAACCTTGTCTTGTTCATGAAGCTTGGATATGAGTTGTTCAGTTTCTTATGATTAATAATAAACATGCCTTCTTAAGCAATGAATCTAACAATATGTATCCTTTCAAGCTAACAATAATGCAGTAGACTTAGGTTCATATCTTCTGTTTAGTCCTTGTTAGATTTTAATATTTAACTTTAAGCTGTTATTAAAATCTAAATAGAAATTGCATGTATCCTTCTTCATTCAATAGTAGTTGATTTCCAGTTAAAAGTTGCTTGATTTTTATTTATAACTGGGATATCCGGGCTAACTTGCGCATACCTCAGCTAATCTCTAAGGCCTATTGAACACTTTATAAGCCCAATATTCTAAGTAAGCCACAACTGTAGTAGGTGATCCAAAGGTGGTTTGAACTTTGAACTCGAGAAGTCAATGAAGGGAGCAAACCTTCTTGACCATTAGGCTAACCCCTTAAAAATTGTTTGATTTGATATGTTACTCTCTACAATACTTGCATAATGAGTTAATAATTTTTTTATTTTTTATAATTACTTTGAATATACCACAACTTCATCTATTTTTCTCCTCCAAGGTCTTGATTCAAACTAAATTTTCTTAAATGTAATAGTAATTCTATTTCAAAATCAATTACACTATTTTTTTTAACAAAATTACTTATTTCGTTATGGGTTGAGGTGTGTTTCATACTAGCTAGTTCAAAAATCATTTTATGATATAAGGAAGTACTAATACAAAGAAGTATGCATCATTGGATGAGAACTAACTCATTGTCAATCAAAGTAATTAAGCCTTAATTAGGACCATTTTATGGACGCTATCATTGTCCCGTTATTTCTAAGTTCCGGTCCCTCAACATAGCCTTTATTTACTTTCAATTCATTGTCCGTCATGTACCTTTTTATCCACTTTCCATTTCTTTTTCTTGTTTTTCAAAAAGCTTAGAATTTAAATGGTCATGAATTAATAAATAAAAGAGATGAAAACATTGTTTTCATTAACTAATATAAGAGGAAGGTGAAGCTTGGAAAATTGCAACGGCAAGGCTGAAACGTAGGCACCGGAATTGAGACAGTTTCTTCATCCAAAGCAAATTCATGTTTTCGTCATCGCTTCTTCGATTATAATAGGCTATTGAATGGTGTTGTTATAAAATTGTACAGTTGAAGAGTGAGTATTGTGGTTGTGACATCTTGTTAAACAACAAGAGTCAAAGTCTACAAATGGTAGCTTCACTTTTTGACGTGTTTGTGCATAAAGTGAGAGAGTGTCAAAGAAAGTGAGAGAAGGGTGTATATGGATTTGGGGTCACCGTGAATGTATTAGACTTGTGCTATTATTCTCCAATTCAGTCATTTGATTCATATCTCGACAGTCTTACCTATATAATTGTTTATAATATACTATACAATAATAATAATGCCTATTTATAAATAAATATTTATATTATAAAACTTTCCTTTAGTTATGGACTTGAAAGTGATTGTCTCTCCGTTAAATCATAAATGTACTATAAAATTGCATTCTTAAAAAAGCAATGCCACCCTACGCGCCATTGCACTGTAATGATTTCAAACACGATATCCTTTGCTAACATAAACAAATGCATACGATACGAAGGTTCTATCTGGACATATGATTATCTGTACCTACATCTCACGCTCTCCGACCTCATCGTCTCCTATTTACTGTATTAAATTGTATTTATCATTCAGTCTTGAAAATTAAAAGCGGTCCCACTTTACATGTGATCTTTGAGTTCTATGATCAAATCATCTCACCTGACTTAAACCCTGAGCCCCCAGCTGTGAAATTGTATAAGCAAAACTTAACAAGAAAGGGAAATAATAAAATAAACGTTAAAAATCATTAAATTATAGATTCTAGAAATCTTATTAGCAGCTTCAAAGGGATTGTCATTTGGGGAGAAAAGAAATTCTCGCCATTAATATCTAAAGCTGTATCAACCTTAATTCATGAATTTTATTTTTTCAAAATAAATTAAAAAAAAAAAAAAAATATATATATATATATATATAGGAAGAATTGATGGTAATGTGATTAGTAATTTGTATAAAGATAGTCGTTTTATTCATTGCATTGCAAGAAGAAGAGGAAGAACTCAAAAGCCAAACGCTCTATGTAAGTGTTTCTCAAAGTCAGGATTCCAACTTTATAAGTATAGAATTACTTGAATAAGAAAGGTATGAAAAGTACTATTTATTTTTGCGTATCAAGAGAAAAAAAAGGGTCAATACCTCTATGATGCTAACAAAATTAGGTGTAATATGTTATTTTAGTGTAAAAACAATAGTGAAAACAGTTTGGAAATTTACTCAGCTTTCAATACCATAAGAAATCATCTTTCATTCTTCATTCTAGTGCTTCGGTAGCTATATGGTGTTCATTAGTGGCCTTACTGATGTAATGAGCTGAAAATATTTCATTAAAGTTTTTCACTAACTTTCATAAGTTGAACTACATACTTCCTCGTGAGGGAATTTTCTGGAGTTTATTATAAAAGCATAATGTAGGAGATGTAAAAATATAACTACTTTGTTGTTGTGCTGCCCCGTATTTGATCCTATTTCAGGAAGGGATGCTCTGCCTAGTCATTACTTGTTCAAAATCAAGTCCTTCTCGTTGTTAAAAGCTTCAATTGAGATATACAAAACGAGCCAATTTGAAGCAGTGGGTTTCAAATGGTAATTTATTTTTACCATAGCTTCTATATATTTAGAGATGTGAACATTATTTACATATCTCATTTATGATTATCTTATAAAACATGTGAAGTGAATACAAATTTTTTTTTTATTTAGCTTGCATAATATGACCCTAACATAGATAGTAAACAACCTTTTGTTTTTGACCATTTGTCAAGTTTCAGGATATGGGGCCCGTTTTAGTGTAGAATTATAATATAGTTCTTCCTTTCTTTCACTTTACAATTGGTATCTGGTTTTACAGGACACTG